CAGACGAGGGTGAGAGAGAGGCAGACAGACCGCAACCACAGCAAGTTTTTGTCGACGGCACGAGGTGTCGAACCCGCGAAGGTTACGGCTGAATGGGTTGAGGGCTAGCTCCCTTATCCATTCGAGTACATCGTCTGTCGAACGAGTATACCCATTGAGCTGTGGTTCGGTGCTAGCCGAACTCGCTCGGCGGACATGACGGAGACTTTGTGCAAGAGTCAGTATCTCGTCCACCAGACCACAGCTGTAGGAGCCAGTCACATCCCGTAGGTATGCGGCCGATGCTGATGCATTGTCGAGGCTGGCTCGACAAGCATCTTCATAATTGGCCATGACGCTCACGAAATGAGAACTGTGATGATCTGGGAGCGTCTTGCATGCTTCCAACCGAGGCTGCTGGCCTGATGCAGCCTCATAGGCTGTTGGCCACGGCTTCCACACAATGGTGGTGGCGGCTGGAAGCACGATACTGGAATATGGATATCTGACTTGATGATCGCTGGCTGACGGTTAGCCGGAGCATTGTCAAGTGAAAGAAAGGGCGTGAGAGGAGAAATGTCCCGGGCGGGTTTGGGATGGGTAAAGAAAACAAGTCTCGAGAGGCCGAACTAGCCAAATGGCGTCTCGGACTTGTTATAACTGAGGCGAATCCGAGCGTTTCGTTGGGCGTGCGAAGGATGTCAACGTGTGGCACAATTTGTTGTCCCACGAGGATCGGGGAAAAGTAGTTCCCCGATGAGCCAGATCTCGATGGATTTTGACCGGTTGATAGATAGGGCTTAATACGACCTACGGCTGTATTTCGCCCACTATCAACCTCGCATGAAAAAAGTCCGTACCAGGCCAATCGATCACGTGATCGATTTGGTGCCCTCCCACCTTACTCAGCAACAGCCCCGGAAGCGCCAAATAGTGTCGTAAATATCGCGACCCGAATCGGTTCAACAATCCAAAACCGATTGACGTCAGACACTGGGCAAAAGCAATCCTGAAAAGAAAATATTTTTTCCGGAAAAATTTTCCACTCGGGAAAAAACTCATACCTGTTGGTCCAGCAAGCTTGTAATATATCCTCTCCCACAACAACCTTCAACGAGCTCTCAATCATAGCCAAACCCACAGCGACAAAGAAACCGTAAATTACAGGCTGAAAAACATAATAATTTCGTGGCGCGCGGTAAAATTTTCCGGAAAATTATGATCCATTCTGAGATTAATTCTCAGCAATATACCACGATACCTTTTTGAAGGGAATAATTTCGTGGCGCGCGGTAAAATTTTTCGGGACTATTACCTGGGGAAAAGCCGTTTTAAACGTTTCGAGATACTCCCTTTTGCAAACCATCACCACAAATAGCAAAGACAAACCAAATCTGACCGAAATTCCATATAATCGTCCTGCAGAAAGTGCGCGAAAAACTCCGTACAAGATAGAGCTCAGCATGAAGGAAAGCAGGGCGCTTTGGACGGCCAGGGTAGTAGTTGGAGCTTCGCCCATGTTAGATATAATACAGGTAATCAACGCCGCTTGGAAAGGGGTCTGAGAGAGAATCTTAGGTCCGATACTCAAAGATACGGATCATGTCAACAAACTGGTATCAAAAACATTTCGGAAAAAATCTAAAAAATTTTCTCCATTTTAGACGGTAATATAACTTAATTTTATACCAAAAATCTGACAAACTTGATTTTTTAGATTTTTTTCCACAAATCCTTCCTTTTCGCTTGCATAATTCCATCTCCGTCAACACCCATCCTTTTTTTCAAGAAAATAAATTTCGGGGAAAAAATTTTTACTACGTAATTTCCATGATTAAAATTTCGCTTCCCGCAAATCCGCATCAGAAGATTTTTCGGAGGAAGTTTTACCACGTAATTTCCGAAAATTTTCGTTTATTTTTTTCTGCCATTTTTCCCATTATTACCGCGGTTGAGCTTGGGCAGGATATGCATCCTTTTACGGAGTGGTTCATATAGCACAGTTGAGCTACTATACCAGAAATTAGTAACGACTGGAGACATACCGCAATATGGGGAGATAAGATGGGACCGTTGAAGTACCTGAGAAAAAATTTACCAAAATTTACCAAAATTTTCGGTGTATCATGTACAAGCCTTGCGGTAGTTTACAAAAAAAACTATCTTGACCACGCGCCACGAAATTATTCAGAAAATGCCAGGAAAAAGCAGACGTGAAAAATTTCAGAGCCAAATCCGAAATTTTGGTTTAACATTTTTCGACTTCTACCGAACAAAACACCAAATATTTACAGTTGAATTTTACCTTTTTTCGGGAAAAAAATTCATGCAAAATTATTTCCAATTCAGCTTTTTCGGTACAATTTTCCCCCCAAGCCGAACTTACACCGAAGAGAAGGACACTGCTCGGAAAATGACGAGAAAGCCCGAGAGGATTCCTCCACAAATCGGCCCGATGATCGACGACGACTGTTTTTTTGATGAAATCTTCCGCGTGCGTAAGAGTAAAGATTCCCTCAAAGATTCCTTCGCCGTATGGCTGGAGTAGGTCGGCATGGCAATCGACTATTAAAGATATTTTCCGTGCCCCGATGGTCCTCGACAAAATAGGTTCATTGTACACTCAGAAGAAAGTGTCGCGCGCCACGAAATTCCACCTTATCAGCGCCATGTAAATCTCGCTCGCCCAAAAATAGGTCGTGGGTTCTCCCTCATCTTTCGCCTCGGGTCGTCAACTTTTGATCGGTTAAGCATGGTAGTCGCGTGTAAGGGGTGGAGAAACGGTTATGGTCTGTGGTGAATTCTGATTGAGAATCGATCGAAATCTAAATCCTTTCTATGGACATGAAAAATGTGATAAAAGTAACCTTTCGAGCTTGTGATAGCGACAACTTGTTCACTATCATTCGTCCCGAAGTGAACAACGCACCTTGTCCGCATTTGCATATCAAATTGTCACAACAACTCTAGCCGTAACTACAGTAACACGATCTGGTTCTCCAATAACAACCAGTTGAGCAACGACTCCGTGCGCTGAGGCTGACTCAGGACAGGCCTGCCGAATCGAACGACCACTGCTGCGGCCGATAACAGGTGTAACCGAGTATAAGACAGATTGTCACCAGTTGTTGTTGTTCGGCATTATAACTCCGTATATCTGTGATAATGAGCTTTGCCGAAAGAAAGTCGGTAACATGTGTACATGGTAATTTCACAGCTTCAGATCGAGTTTCTAAATCGAGTTATAAATACTATTTGATAGTATTAATCATCAATCCTACCTGTCTACTATCAGGCCTCTTATCCTCTCTCAATGGGACTATCTAAGATCTACCTCAACCTCTTCTGTGCAATCATCGCCCTCCTTGGTCTGGCTCTTACTGCCATCATAGCTGGTGTTCTCATTTACCCCATAACCCGTCCTATTCCAGCTTGGTACGTCTACCTCGCCGGCTTCGCCCTCTCGATCAGTCTGCTGATCTTCGCTGCATTGGGTGTCAGCCGTTCCTCGACGATCAAAGCCTATCGTGAGGGCATTTCCAGTGTGCTTTTCATCGCTATCATTTACGCTGCTCTCACTACACTAGCCGGTCTATGGCTCTCCAGCTGGGCTGCGGATTTCTTCGAAGTTGCTCGTAACGGTATTGACTCTACCAAGCTATCCAAGGCTGCTATCTCCATCGTTACTGAGGTTGAAAAAGACTTCACTGGCGTTTACGTGAACGCTGGGTGCCATTTTGGAGGACAGATGACTCGAAATTTTGATGGTAAATTCTCGAAAGTACAATGTGATCATGAACTAACACAGAAGGCTTTGAACGCTGTCGCTACCACTCCTCAGCCGGCTAAGGAGTCTGGCAGGGAATATCTCATGTGCTTGTCGTTTCCAAGACAGCAGGCGAACAACGTTAAAGGCGTGGTGAGTGAGGGGACGCGGTGGCTTCCTATACAATTATGAACTACCCTGTCTGCTCTGTTTGAGATCTTACAGTTGATGATCATAACTCAATTCACGTAGAGTTGTTGAGGGTATTCATTCTCCAACGGCCAGTAGTCAAACTTGGGATAGTCGCTCGTGAATATATATAAATCGACTAAAGTACAACATGTGTGTTATTCGAGTTGGTTCTCCTCAGACTGGCCTCTGGTGTCGAACAGGTCAAGCGATGGTGAATAACATCGCAGCTATCACCCTCTGGTCAGCCGTCATCATGTTTGTGGTGGCACTTCTTTTCCTACTTGCTGCAGCTGCTACATGGCGACAGAAGAGGAAAGGCATCAGGGAACAGGTGGGCTCATGCGGTCGTGTTACTGATCATTCCTCATTCTCAGATGCCTCGTGGCTTTGGTGAAACTGCGCCTTTGATGGTTCCTGGCGCGAGAGTGGTATATGCTTAGAATGTCTTTGTTGATGATTAAATGTTCATCAATCGTGGTTTGTCGAATTTCAGTGCTCCCAATAAGTCTCTATAGCTCAGCTGCTTCACCAGGTTCATCAAATAATTGTGCTATCCAGCCCTTGGGCTCTCCCACTGCACCGCACCCTTCCATCGCACCCGATCGAGCCCGTTATAATATGTTATGTTGAACTACCAACATCGAGCTCCACTCGTTATGGAATGATCTATCCGAACTAGTATCCGTGAATATAACCATAGGCCGAGGAGGAGGCGCCCAGAGGGTGAATAGATTCAACTTGACCACCCACGTCTGATTTTAAAACGAACTGCTCATGGCATCCCGCTTTGGTAGTTATCGGGTGACCACACAGTGTATAAGAATTGATGATCAGGAGTGGACCCTAACCGACGAGTACAGGTTGACACAGAGGGGATCTTGGAGTAGTGGCATAGCCGCCCCGCTCCGAGGAATCTATCTTACTGAGGCGTATCTTGGAGTAGTGGCATAGCCGCCCCACTTTGAGGGATTGATCTTACTGAGGCGTATCTTGGAGTAGTGGCATAGCCGCCCCGCTTACCGACATTGAATCCCCCGCGTATATAAGCCCATGGCTACATCAATCCCCTCCTCCTCCTCCATGACATCATTGGATGATTAGCTATGCACGCATGCACAAGAAGGAAGATAGAATGGATGTGTGATGTGACAGTAGAGCACCAGGCCATGATAACACTCATGAGCTTATAGGGGTAGCTAAGGAGACTTAAAGGGGAGTGACTTAAAAGGAGAGGGCGAACTATCATTAGCTGTGGATGATCTTAGGAAGCACGCAAGCACATAGATGTGATCAGAATCCCATAACAAACTGTACCGTCGGGGGGTACTACAGGTGTGCTCCACTAATAAATAGAGCTTATCCAGTAATAAAGAGAGGAGCCGCCTCAGGAGCTCCTAGTGGGGATTCAACATAGACACCTTCGG